ACAAAGATTTGTGCACGACTACAGCGCACAAGCTTGGCAGTCAGAATACACAACCTATGCTACTACTACTTCAACACCAACAACAAAGCTGCCACGGTGTCCACAGCTGTCAGCGCACATCCACAGGGGAGTAAAATCAAGGTTGTGTCGCTGTTGGAAAGTCTGGTGGATCGTTGGCAGTCACAGAACAACATTTATGGCCCTTTTGAGAAAGTCAGTGTGCGGGTAGCTGTGCTGTAACTCGGCTATGTGTGTGTGTGTCTCTGGACAGTGACGGTAGAGAATCACAGCCACGTTGTTCATCGCAGTTAAGTCAATGTGTCTGTTCGTCCAGATATCCTGCTCTAAATAAGGCAGAGTTATCTGCAGGCCCATGTGCGGTCTTTACTGCCACAGAAGAGGAATAAATCGAATTTATGTGTGCCATCTCTCGCTAATGCAATACTGATACTGTACTGAGGCACAAACAGGGACTGTGGTCAGCCAGCGTGCCCTTTTTTATACAGTCTCTTTGCAAAGTATTCATACCCCTTTCACTTTATGCATACGTCATATTGTAGAATTACCTTTATTTAATCTAGAACCTAGGGCGGCAAATAATGGCCTGTCAAATATTTTATCGATTTTGAAAATAAACTAGTGACTATTTGGACTTTGAAGAAGCCTGTTTGGCAGCAGATGCAGCTTTGGGTCATTGCCCCTGCCTCACTTGCGCTCACTCCTTATTTGGCTGCATTCAGTTCTGATCAGCCTCTCTATTCTGCTGCTGAGAAGCATAATTGTTGATGATGCTGCCACCACCATGCTTCACTGCAGGGATGCTGTTGGCCAGATGATAAACCTGGGGTTCTCCAGACATACTGCTTTGAGTTCTGTTCAAAGCTTTATTTCCAATATGTTTCCAGCCTAACAGCAATCTTCTTCCCTCATGCGATCACGACCCTTCGAGCAGGCTGTCATTTGCCTGGGGCTGTTTTTTTACAGCAACACTCTGTACGTATACTGTTGTTAAGAATCCCCCGGATTAAGATGGCAGCAACACCAATAATCTGCAGAGCACGGAGGAAAGAATTTCAAATTTAAACACAAAGCCAACATACTTCCAGGTCCCTAGACATCTGAGAAAGTGACGTCTAAAACCATTCAGTTCATTCCCCAGCCCCTCCACTTGCAAGAAACTGAATCCTACGTTGCAGCCAATGGCAGGGAAGAACCATGCATGTAAGCTCTGCCGCTAAGATGGTGTGTGAGTGTGAATGGATGAATGAAAAACACATTGTAAAGCGCTTTGTTGAAAAGGTGATAAAGATTAAAAAGGTGCTACAGATGCGAACAATATACCATTTAAACACAACCCAGTGAAAGCTTCAGTCTGTTAAAGAGGACGACAGCCCATCACTGTACAGCTGTAAACTGTAGCTAGGTTAACAGAACATAACCTTCTTACTCAGCTGACGTAAAGCCCTTATGTCATCTCAGGGTTATCTCTTGTTCCAGTCGCTTCTACAAATAAATGTATTCTAAATGTGCCTTTAGTGTCTGAGAGCGAAAACCAACCATCTGCCTTTCGTGTTCCTTCAGTTTACTGTTCATGTTTGAATAGAATCTAGGAAATACTGCTGCAGATTTATTTTAACCCTTTGTGGTTTTAGTTTAAGCTGAACATTTTATTTCTTGCTATACAAAAACCATCAGTTTACATTAAAATGTACCAGCTCAGTACTTGGTAGCGGGTTCTCTTGATACTTGGTCTTCTATGCCACTTTTTTCTCATATTATATTAATTCTAATGTTATTTTTAAGAATGCATATACAATATATTCCTAAAAAACACAAAGAACTATACTAAATTAAGAGTTTCGAGCACAAAAACTGCACTGACAAGTCATTTGATTACATATTCAATGAACAATCTGTGTACTGAGTAATGATCAACAGTAGGTCTGTTCAAATTAGCATAAAACTACCTTCTTTTTTTTTTTTTAACATGTGGTCTACAGAGTGAGTGTTTTTAAGAAAGTAGGTCAGCCCTCACACTGTTATTTGGTTCTTTTAGTGAGATATTTGGCAGCTATTTTAGACTGACTCAACGCTGCGAAAGGCTTCCAGAGTGTCTGAAAATATATCTTAAACAGCCCATGAACCCTGAAAGCTCACCACTTTTGATCAAAGTGCTGCAGAAGAAGTGCGCGTCTGTCAGTGCAGAGAGCGGCTGACATCCGGTCCTGCCTGCATTACTGCAAATGGAACACATTAACTGCAAATAAAAAGCCACTGACTGACATACAGGCAGTTAAATACAAGTAGATATAGGGCACATATTGTTTGACATACTGTTGACATATGCCTTCTGTAGCTGCTGCAGCACTTGTTGGTTTCACTGAAGGCACAGCTTTTATCTCCTGGCTCATATTTTCTCATCCGTGACATTTCGGTGGTCTGTGCAGTACACATTAAGCAAATCCCACATTTCAGAGAGCTGACAACAAACAACTGTGTGTTTTGATACGCCATAATTTAAGGTAATCTGATGGAATGAATTCACGAGTTAAAAAATGTGAAGACGCTCCTGATGACAACACAGGACGGGTCCAGAAAAATACCCTAAAAACTCCAGATCTGTTTTAATCTTTAAATTAACTTCCGATTTGTAAATCAGACATCAGATCAGAACTGCTGCTGCTGCCTTGGTGCTTCCAGAGTCAGGAATGCAGTACATCACCGCCACTAACTATGACTATATACATATTCACCAACCAGCCACAACATTAAAACCACTGAAGCGAATATATTGATGGACCTGTCAGTGAGTGGGATATATAAGGCAGCAAAGAAAACAGTCAGCTTTTGAAGTTGATGTGTTTGAAGCCTGAAAAATAGGCAGTGTAACCTAATCCAGATCGAAGCTTAAAATCATGACATTTCATCATAACCGCATAGATTTTGTAAAAGACAAAAAAAAAAAATCTGCACTCGTCTGTGTAACTAAAAAGCCATTAGTGGCTCAGCAGCAGCCAAAAATGAAAGTTGTAGATTGTGAGAGATGCAGGGCTTTAGACGGCAGTGAAAAATGAGCCAACAGTGAGTAAAAAAAAAAAAAAAATGCCTAGAAAGTTCAGAGAGTTCATCAAGAAAATTAACAGCAGAAGATGGAAATTATCATTTGATGCAGCCTGATTGGAAAGTAATCAATGTTCTGTACTTGTTCTGTCTTTTTATTATTGAACACCAGATTTATTCGAGAATTAACAATAAATAGTCAAAACGACAGAAGCCAGATTGATTATCTTTCAAACGATTATTCTCCCGTGTCACTATATGTGCTTCACTGCAAAAGAAAGGATTTATTGGTAGCAGTGATTATACTGTTACGTGTGTGACAGGTGGAAGAATTAAAGAGAGCTAGAGAGACGTGAGTAGCGATAACTGCAGCAATATCGGAGCTATAATTTAGCTGGTGGAGCTGGGCAGGAGGTGGAGATGACTGACAGCTTGTAGTTCATCTGATATTCTCTCCCCGTGCGTTTTGAGTGCATTAAGCCGACTGGCGCTAGTTGGAAAAAAAAGCAATGACATTTGAAAAAAATGGGAAAATATCATTACATAAAAAGCACATCCGCCAATATTTTTTGAGCTACTTTGTGAAAAAAAAAACAAAATCCATTGATAATGAGCCTACATGTGGTGTCTGGTGATGAACTGTTGCAGCTCCTGAGTCATCAGTCATCGGTCGCGTCAGCAAATATCGCTCATTTCTGACGCGCTCATACGTAGTTTGTCACATTCTTGGCTGCTGGACCATCACACAAACGAGACGTGTTTTACTTTTTTACATTTTTGTTTTGGCAAATTACAATTTTCAAACTAATACTGAAGAACAAGGTTGAAGTTGTTATATCAAACTGTTTAGTGCAGGTCAAGGTTTACACATTTAGGATGCAATGAAGCACGTTTCTGCAGCTTGCAGTAGTTTAGCACAACGGAGCTGATAAAGCTAAAGGTGGTTTCACAACATGTGTTTATATATCTGATGCATTTAAGTGAAATCTCGTAGAAACGACGCTGTTCGTGCATCTTCCAGCAAAAGCAGAGCAAAAAATAGGGCTGAAGCTTGATTCACAGCCTCTTATGGTGCAAACACACTAACATTCAACACTAGTATGTCGGGATGTTTGGGTTTTGATCATAAGCTTTGGATTGTTTCAGATGAAGGCATTGATTGGTATCAGCATGAATCTTGGCCGACACAAGTGGCGTACATTTTCAAAATTCCCAAACAATTGCAACATTATCGACAAATAATTTATTTATTTGTTGGATTGTGAGTACACTTCACATTTGTACTGTGCTGATGTTGCTATTTGCATGTATGTTGCATGTACCACTGGGGCATAGGATTGGTTGGAGGTCATGAAGCGCCACAGAAGACTTTGTTCATGGTGACTCTTTGTGAGCTCAACCCTGACAACGCTCTGTGCTGCTGATGCTTTGTAAGTTACATCCACTCAGCTTTCAGATCAATATAAATGATCCTGTCAAATCCTGTCACAGACTTCTGTGATTGTTGCATTTGATGAGCTTGCAGTAAATACTAGTTACACATGAGAGAAAGGCTGAAAAAACAGAATCACACAGCTATTGCAGGCAGGGTTTTCCCTTCTGTAGAAAGGTTTAAGTGCAGCAACTAAGGGTTTGTGGGCTGCCTTAACCTGACTGACAGTTTGGTGACATTAGCATGAATGTAAAACCAGTGGTGAGAGTTTAATGCACTGCTTAAGAAATGGAGAGGTGGTTTGTTCTCAAAGAAAAGGTGACCATCAGAGGGACATTTGTGTGATCAAATTCTGCAAGATACTAAAGGTCCAACAAGCAAAAAAACCCAAACTTGTCTGCTTCATTCAGAAATAACTAGCAAACTAAATGTTTTTCATTTTCTTATTTAGGAATCTCACTTGAACATGAAAAGATGAAAGGATTCATCTGTAATCGGTGGTGCCTACCTTCTCTGGAGAAGCAGGGGGGTTGAATCTGCTGGCACACACCAGGAAGGAGTCAGGCTGAGGTTTGGCATTCCTCACCTCGGGATCGTCGCCCAGAACAATGTGGTCAAAAATAGCAAACAAGTCTTTGTGTTGGCTCGTCTTCAGCTCGAACGTCACGCCGGCGGAGCTGGTTGCCACTGCAATGGGGACGCTGTGCTGCTGCAGATGGTGCACGAGTTTCTTCACACCTGGTGGTGCACAAGTTGTAAAATTAGACCTAAAGGTAGACTAATATATCTGTTTGTCACGATAGCAGACGAAGAGAACAGCTGTTAAATATGTTTTTATTCTCGTGTTTCACTTTATTGGTGACTAGAGAGAAGAGCAAGAGCTGTGGGAGGATTTTAATCTACAGCTTCAAGGATGACAGTCTGTAAAAAGCTGAAATAAAAACTCCCTCAAGGAACACACTCCTTTAACTTGCTAGGTGACAAGAACATGCACCCAATAAATGATGCACGGTAACACTTCATCATACATTACAGCTGCATCCTTATTCTGGAGCTTATAAACTTCACATTCCCCGACCAAATATAGTATACAACAGAGCAGAGAAAACTCCTGTGAAACATCTCTTAAATGCCAAATTATTCAGAATTGGATCCCCTCTCAAAAACTGCATTATTTCTAAGCTGAACAGAATTATGAACAATCAGAAACTATTACTTTCGAAAGACTATAATGACAATACAGGCCCTAAAGTAGCAACTAAATGCAAGAAAAGTGAATACACCTGTGATCAGCGAAACAAAACTGAGTACATCTATGATTTCCAATCAAGCTAATCGCAAGAACACAGTTTAAAAATGACCTCTGACCTTCTAAGTGCTCTGTGTCAATACAGCCTTCAGTTTAATCCAATCCACATGAATGGTGATTGCAGCTGAGTCACTCATGGCTCGCTAATTGTGCTAAGGAGGGCAGAGTCTTTTGGATTTTACAGAACTTTAATGATTTTTATGAAATGTGATCATTCTCAGCTTGAGGTCCCAATTGGAACCAGAAGTCACACATGAGTTGTTAAATGACTGTCAGAAAATTTAAACATCTGACTTTTCTTTTACAATTTCTTGCTCTAATAAATGCTTGAATTGTGTTGACTTTTAAAAATACGACATGCATTTAAAACCCAGAAGTATGTTCAGAGTTTTACCAGCACCTCAGATTGGAGCCTAAACAAGCGCGTCTCAAACATTGCATAAATCTGGTCTTTGTAGCAGCGATGGATCAGCCCACTAGAATCTAACTTGATCTCCTTCATTGCTAACACAGTGACAGCACCACAGTCTCCTGTTTAGTAATGAGGAAGCTGAAACTATAATAAGGAATATGATTAAAATAAAATTCAGCTTTATCACATTGGATAGAACTGAAATCCAGTTCTGAAATATAAATCAGAACTACCATTAACCACCAGGCTCCTGTGTGGGCTAATGTATTAACACGTGCCTATTCTAATGTACACAATCCATTTTTTTTTTTTTTTAATATCACACGTTCTTTTTTTCATCCAGCCTGTTCGCAACATGTGAGCCTCACAGAGTGGGTGTGTTTACCTGCTGTCAGCCTCACACCTGCCCACTGAAACCATGCCGTGCCGTTTTGTTCTACAAATGCGCATCGCTAATGTCGAACGCCAACACGACAAAGGCTTCTGTGCATTTAGGAGGGAGCAGAGACACAATTAATATCCCGCGGAACGGTTCTACAAAACCCACCCTGACAACGAACATAATGCCGTCTTTGTCCGGAGCAAATGACATGCTCTCCCTAATAGTTTAATGACGGCCACGGCATTCTGTGTGAAATCCAGGCGCCGGCTGATGAATTAACAGCTGCACCTGTTGAATCGCCAGCCTCATGTAAAACAGATGGACATATTTGTCAGGTTTCTTTCTCATTTTCATATTGAGTGCTACGGCCCCTGGTGGCCGTGTGGTTTCTTTTTCCTGTTGGATCTTTCGTGGCCTCTGTGTGGGGAGGCGGACTTTTGACTGGCTGAAGAGCAGCTCCACACAACACCTGTCTGTCATCTTGCATGATTGGTCTGGAGCTCCAGACCTGCACTCTTCTTCCCACCAGTTCCCTCCACCAATCAGGCTGCAGCAATCACCTCCACCAAGGTATAAATCTGGAGCAAACTCGGGTGGCTGTGATTGAAAATGAGCTGAGAGTTACTGGCTGTCTTCTGTTTCTGTAGCCACCAAAAGTTGCTACTAGAATAAAGAGCAGCCCACTCTTGAACGCTGAACAAACCAGTTGCATTATATTCCTGCTTTTTTTAGTACATTTTTCATACCTGGCATGAGCTTGGCCGAGGGAAAGATCCTTCCTTGTATCTGCCTGCTTTCGGCTAACAGTTCCTCGGCCGTCATGGGAAGCTCCAGTGAATCCCGAATCATTTGGGCAGCTTCCAGAGCTTTTTTACCCATCACCGATGCCTTAACGTCCCACGTGTACCGTTTTCCAAACCGGTCGCAAATTTCCTGGAAGGACACAGTGTAGAGTCGCTCTGTGTCTGAAGTGAGAAAATACAGACAGATGATTTACTTTAATGTCAATTAAGATCAAATATGAACGGAACATTTGATGCAATGCCAAACACATATTTTAGTTAAAGTTGCACACAGTGCTTATTTTCATTGTTGATCATTGTGTCAATTATTTTCCCAATTAATTGATTAATTTGGTCAATAAAATGGTGAAAAATGTCACTCAGTGTTTCCCAAAGCCTAAGATGACAATTTCATTTGTCCACAACCCCAAATGTATTCAGATTTCTGTCACAAAAGAGGGGGGAAAAAATGGAACATTCACATTTAAGAAGCTGCAAACTTTTCCAACATAAAAACAAATCAAGTAACAGATAATCAAATAGTTGATTATTAGCTTATTTGGTAGCATCTAATCAATTAGTAAATTATTCTTGCAGCTCTGTTCCGGTACCTGTCCTGCACTGTGCATGTACTGTAAGAGCTAGACAATAAAACTACACTTAATCGAATATAACATTTGAAAATGACATTACCAAGGTCAGTTAAACATTAAATGACAGCCCAGACATGCTCCATTCACTAACCAGAGTCCCTAATTAGGGCTAGAGTAGCAAGCCAAAAGCAATTTAAAAATAAGATAATTTTGAGTTTCCTGGCGTAGCTGTAAACAGATATTTGGCAAACATTATGTCAACTACCTAAAGCGGGTCAGTAAATGCTTTCCTTTAATTCGGGACATGTCTGACTGATAAAGAAGTCCAACTTTCCTGAAATCTCAACTTTTATAAGTAGGTCACCGTTTGGTTGGTAACCTCATGGAAGTTAGCTGACAGCCATGTTATGCTATACTACACGTCGATTTTGAAAGTGCACAGTGCAGATCGACATTTGAAATGTATGCCGAATTAATCTCTACATCATAACATGTAATAGCCCTGCAGAAGGATGTTCGACACGATATGGAATTGTAGTTTTGTGCAAGAGATCATAATCATCTACATCTCAACGGAGTTCGGTAAGCAAGCGCTTCACGCTGCACGACGGAGTTTTTTTTTCTTTTTTTGAATGAACACAGGTGTGTCTGTGGTTAAACGAGCAATGCCTTAAGACAGAAAGCATAAAGTAGGTTTCAATACCCAATAATAATCCGTCCATGTCAAAAATGACATGGCTCACAGGTTTGTAGCTGTTGCTTGACATGATTCACCGGTGAGTTTAGTTCCGCGTTGAGGAAGCCGCGGTGAGAGGTCAACTAAAAACTAACAAGATGTTCGTGTTGTTGAAAAAAAATCTGTTTGTGACGTTTAGAATCTTCTATTGGCACTAAACCAGCTTTAATACATTATCATACAAAAACGGAACTGTTATGATAACGATAAATTACACATTTTCAGTTTACAATGGGTGTCAAGCAGTTCAGGGTTGCTTTTAGTCGGTCCAGCGCAATGGCTGCTGGGAAATGAAGTCCGAACTGACGGTTCATTGGGCTGCTTTAATAGCAACTGCATAGGTTGTAGAAGAAAATTGTTTTGTTTGGCTGTTTCCTTTTTTCCTTTTGAAACAAAACTATTTTACATAATAAACACCACAGAAAAAAATACAAAAAAACAATCTTTTTCAAGGTAAAATAATATTCTAATTTTGTTTTTTTTAGTTTGTTTTCATATATTGTCTCTGACTTTGTCATATGAATTCATATTTCTCAAGATGCTGAAATTTCAAGTCTTTTTGATCAAGTTTGGATCTTTTTTAAAAGCAAACTCCACTTTTTTTTGTTTTAGTCTGGTATTTAATTGGTTTTGAATTATTAGTAGTATTAATTGTAGTAGCAGCAGTGACTGAATTTTTTTTTTTTCTATTAATTTGTACATTTTAGTCCATTTTATTTTTTTAATATAATGTCTTAATCTTGAATAAATATGCTTTTGATAATTTCTTATTGCATTTACTATTGATAGCAAAACAAATATTAAGTCCTCCATTTATAACAAAATATCTATTTGGGGATTGGGTGAGTTTTGTTTTTGTTTTGTTTATTTGTTTGTTGTTTTTGTTCATTAATTCTCTTCTTAATAACACTTTGCATTACATTCTGTATTTCTTTTTTTTAAAAGTGCTATATAAATACATTTTTGATGGATTGATTGAAGTTCGAGTTAGGTCTCTAGTCTTAAGAGGGCAAGTTCAAGTCATGTGTCAAAGACCAGTAAGAGATCTTTAAGGTGTGATCATGGTCTGACATGACAGCTTCTCAGCAGTAAAGCCAAAATATGTCAGAAAGATGTGCTGCCATCTTCTGCTGTCATGTCCTGACATATCCAGACTGTCTATTAAATGTTACAACAGATACAGTATACAATACAGTATAGAGGAAACAATAGATGATATATAGCTCAGTAACAAACAACATGCATCCATGACAGTCCAGACAACAGCAGCTGAGCTAAATGCGGCTGAAGGAGAAGCTGGAACTTGTTTTCCACTAATTGCAGGGTTGACGTGTCCTCAGAGGTACACTGAACCAGAGGTTGTCTCCGATCACCGAAAAGCTTTTCTGTTAATAAAAAACTGGAAACAGGAATTTTTAATGGAATAAAGCATCCGTATGTGTCATGTGTTCAGTGAGATCTAAGGAGCAGCTGTAAAAAAAATGCCCAGGGATGAGTTGCTGATAACACCATATTAGCTGTTTAATATTTTTTTAAAGAATTATCAAAGAAAGAAGAAATGCTGACTTTTGGTTTTTAATGTGGGTCCAACCCTTGATCGTATGTTTCCTACTTTGCAAATCAGTCCTATCATTAGACTCCCTGCCTGTTAAAACCAGTGTGCTCCAATACCCATACAGCTATACGCTAGAAGAACATTTGGTATGTCCCAGTACATAGTATGTCAAAAGCAGCACAGCATGCTATAAATACCAGGATGTCCTATTCCATTATGTTGCAGTGTTCATGCCAGTGTGCTTTTCTGGATCCACAATCCTCAACACTTATGGCACAATACTATGACACACTGTAGTTCATGCAGCCGTATGTGCTTTGTAAGTACGAATGCCAAGCACCTCCAGTCAGACTCAGTCGAATAGTTAAGAAATGATATCCTTTATATGTCCTGAATACTTTAGCTTGACCTCAATGGAAACATCACGAGATTAATTCATGAGGATTGGACAAAAATAGTCTTTGTGCAACAGTATTCTTGACGTGGGTCTGCCATGGATGGAGCTTTGAATGTTGCTGCCACAAGGAGCTGTATTGTATTTTCCCTTTGGTAGAACATGGACCAGTGTGTGCAAGCTGCAGGAGATAAGGAATGAGACACCTTTTCCTTAGCATTTATAGAATTTCCCCAGCTCTTGTTATGGCTGGAAACCTTCCTTAGCAAAATAAAAGACCACAATTTATCACTTTCTTTTGCAAATTCCTCATCTTCAAGGCCAAACTGAGATAATCTCATTGACATCCTATGATATTATCAGATGTCCAGAGCCTCAGAAGACATCCAATTATTGTCTCCAGTAAACTGACTTTAAGATCCATTCCTTTAGGCACCCACAACTTCTGAATGCCCTCACTGACAAAAGACACGCTGCTCTTTAGAACGCTGAATGACAAATGTTTTTATTAAGCTAAAATTCTGTCTTACATCTTCATTCTCCGGCGTGTCACAGAGAAGGGGCCGCTGCGAATTACTGACAAAAGGCTGCTCACTGCATTGTTACCGGCGCTGCCACATCTTTCTGAATAATTGGAAGCTCCACGTTAACAGAGTTTGTCTTGTTAGTGTGAAAGAGATGTCGGGGGAATGAGAGAACCCTGTAACCTGGACGATCTAATGAGCCTATGGATTTCAAGTCTAATTGGGGGATGGTGAGATGGAAGGTTTCGAGTCCTGTTGCTCGGTGCCAAATTGTGGAGTTTAGGGAATTGCTCAGACTGACCGAGAGCTCAGAAAACACTAAATAGGAGCGGGAACCATGTGTCTTCTGGAGAGGCGCTAAAGAAAAGCGCAATTTCCTGATGAAACATGTTTTTTTTTTTCTTCTTCTCTGACAAGACGAAAGAAGTATTTTTGTTTCTGTTGAAGCAGGATCATGGGTGCGGAGTTTTTTGGGGGTTTTTTTACCAAAAAAAAAAAAAAAAACGAGGATAAGCCTGATGATGCTTCCAATCCCACAAATCAACGCAACAACAAAAAGATGACAGTCTGGAAGAAGTAGCGGGAGATTGCTATGAAGCTAGCCCGGAGCGACACTTTGCTGTCTGACTGAAACAGTGTGTCTGTAGATATAAATAGTGGAGTGGTGAAATCACAGCCAGAAACACAGTTAGTTAGCTTTCACATCTCTCTCTGGAGTGGGACTGCTGCAGAGACGTGGCTACAATTAGACCGGGAAGCTTACTGTTTCATGTTTGCTATCTAATTATTATAAAGAGACTCGTATATAACCACCGTTCTTGCTTTTCATCACAACTCGGGCATTAGCAGTCGGTGCTGTCTAGCTTTGATATGACTGATGATTTACTTGATGATCGCCTGAACTCATTTTCACCTGTGAAACCTTAAATCCCCTTTTTGATGTTTCTCTTGTTGCTCAGTTTTGTCCACAGTGCTGTTCCCCAGCATCACATACAGTTTAGGTAGAAATAAAGAAGATGTTAGGACTAGATTCAACATGTTTCCTGCATCTCTGTAGATAACAGCACAAGCATGGCTGGAAGTAAAGAGAGCTCCAAAATATCATCTGTCCTCTATGACACAGCTATAATGCCATAAATCATTTTTAAAAGTTGCAGTAATTTGGTTATTTATCTTACAACAATGGAAAAAAAACTGGACTCAGCATGCACAATATTTTTCCAACCAGTGTTATAAGTACTGGAAGAACAAAAAAAGATGATTCTACACTCTATAGATATCCTACCAGCTACATTTGTAATTTGTTTCCATACTCATATCTGCAGTTTGCTGAAAAGTTCCCAAATTCTGGTCCCTGTTGCAGCTGAATCATTTTATTTTTGCACCAGTAAACTCAGAATTATTTGCTTTGTTTTACACAATCTGGTTACAGTAAAAAGCTTATTTGGCATTTTTTTTTAAATATGAAATGTAGAAGAAATTAATTGAGATGAAATATCACAAGTTTAAGCTTCGATTTGGTGAATTTTCCAGACCTGAACTGTGTGTCACAGATGTGAAGATCAAGAAATGTCAGACAATTCTTTCTGTTTTTACACTTTCTGCTTCTGAAACTGACAATGGTGTCACTCTGGAGACTTTTTTTCAAATATTTGGGCTTCAGCGCATCGACTCTCAGTGAGTTACTGTGCTTCAGTGCTACATATTAAACAATTAAAGCATCACAAAGCAGTTGGCACACGCCCCGCTGGCACTCAGAAAGCTTGTTATCCACTGCAGCAATATGAGGCACACAAAAAAAATGTAAAAACTCAGCGCTGGAGTTGGACATGTGTTTACAGAGTGGGTGAAGTAAAATGCTTTTCTTTTTCTGGGATAAATTTTGGTAAGCTCACAAGGTGAACCCTATTATGTTGTTGGAAATGATCTGAACAGGAAAATTTAGTCTTAACTCTGAAAAAGGGAGACGATTAAGTCTGGAGCACCAGGCTCTGATTCCCAGATATGTGGGAATACTGTTGTGACACATTGTTCTGAAGCACATACTAGAAAATTACCAACCACTGGCACAATGTGATTGTTTTGACTGTGTGGGTGAGTTTTTTTTTTTCCACCACACATCCCACTGTAAGCCAAAACATGACAGTTACTTACCAACTGGACAACAGAGATGGGGATTTTTTTTTTTTTTCTGAGAAAGAAAAGATTAGTGTTTTTCATTTTAAATTTCATCATGGTTTCATCTTCACCTCTGTCCGCTGGACTTTTTTTCTGTGTAGCCCAAAATTCTGTGCATTATTAACATTCCCTGTCAGCCAGGATCTTTCCTTTCTCTTGACAAATTTAGCACAATACTCCCATGGAAGAGAGGACACGGTTCATTCATTTTGCAGGTGGCACAGGTAGGTTCTTTTTAATGTCATCAACTCAGGAAGGTTCAGGTGCTTCCAGTGACACGGCTACAGCCTCTGCTGTATTCATTGTAACTACGATAAAGCCAAATCTAACACTGTACAATTAGTGAAATGTTAACTATCAAAAATGCAATCTACAAGGGCACTCTGTTTCCTAAAACATGGAAA